ATAAGGAATTATTAGGTTTTTTTTGAAAACTTGAGGCTGCTCAAAGTGCCATGTTATACTGCTCAGAAGCCTTTTTTTTTTCTTCCAATTTGAACCAATTTGATCTCTCAAATGAGACTTTAGGTCTCAGTATTCATGAAATGTTGGTATTTCAGTGTTTTTATTTTATTTTTGGTCCGGTGTATCCATTTTTGTGTATTAAACAGTAGTGCTTTTTGCAAGTTTTTGCCAAGCTTTTGTTCATTCTGAAATGCATGAGAGTAATTCAGAAAAGAATATGGCATAGATAACTCCAACACATGCTACTTATCAATTTATTTAAAATGTGGGCTTTCTAAAGAGACCAGGGTATCAAAATACTTTAATTTATGTCCAGCAAGGCTGATGCAATGCATTTGCAGAGATGAGTGAAAAGGTACAAGTGATTTATATTGAAAATCCTTTTCAGTCTGCATGAAGCATCCGCAGTTGGAGCCAAATGAGGAGAGACTGTGAAGTGAGAGTTCTGACACTTGTAGGAATTATTTACAGTGCTTTGCATAAAAGGGTGTTTAACCCAGAGGTGCTCTTCTTCTCAGCTGTGTTCATGTTATGGGGAGGCTTCCTTTGCTGTGTCTAAGAAAGCAGGCTAAAATACTTTCTAAAATATTCACGGGAAGATACAAAGTCTTTGGTGCCTTCTTTTATCATCTCTTGATAGAGAATCCCATGTTGTAAGAGAAACCAGACATTTTTTCCCCCCCACATGAAGAGTATGGAAAACATTAAGTGTGAAGAGCAGAAAAGAGGAGAAAGCAGGAAAAAGTAATGCTCAAATAATGGTGTAAAGGTGGACAGCAAATCACATGTGCGCTCTCTATGGGCTGTGACACCAAAGCTGCCTCTGCATTTTTAAGTTGCAAGTAATATGGCATGCGTGTTAATTTGAAGGGTCTTGTCTAAATGGTTTTGTCACATTCCATGCAGAACTTGGCTTTATTAGCTAAATTAGCTAAGTGTGATTAAGATGGTTTAAACAGATATTGTGGGGGGAAGGGAACTTACCCTTTTCAAACTAACCGGGAAAGCGTTTTATGAGAGCTAGATTATTTAAGTTAGTGCATCTAATTACATGAGCATCCAGTAGCAAGTCTGTGAAAATGGGCAGAAACATTTACAGTATGAAAACTACCTCGACAACGATCAAAATGACTCCAGATTGAGTCACGCTGCCAATGAAGGATTACAAAGCAAAACCACCCCCAAAATGTGAAATACATGAACGAGAAGGAGCAGTGGGTGAGTTTCAATTAAGGTCTTATGTGCTTTGGTGTACGGCAAGGATGGAAATGAAGCTGCTGATGCAACATAAACCCAGCAATGCTGCTTTTCCACAAGTATGTCTATTTTTACAGTAGATGAGGTTAAGACTACTGTCAAACATCACTTGATACCAACTTCATTCTGGGCTCATTGGTTCTCTACAGCCATACACTGGGCAGGAAAACATGCTCATTTTCTGAGGCTTTATGCCAGGTTTACTGCATTTTTATATCAAAAAAAAAAAAACCTTTCCTTCCACTTTATGGCAACCTTGTATATTCTGCAAACTGTCCTGATCCCTTTTTTCTTCCCCTTTCTAGTCTATGATTGTCACCAATAAAAAATGGTTTACTGTTACCTCTTGACTATTTTATACAGTAGATCAGTCCGAGTTAAGTGGTCTAATTTATTTCAACATTTTAAGTATGCTGTGTTTTCATTGCTGACTATTTGCCAAAAAAGTATCCCATGGAAATTCGTTTTATCTGTTGGCTGTAAAATACAGTTCAGTTAGCAGTTATTTCCCTTTCTCTTAAAGCAATCATGCCAGTGGTATAACACTGGCCTGGTGGGAAGGTGTCAGGCTGTAGCTTATGGTGTGCCATAGGAAACACTTGTTATGTGATAGTTTCATATTTTTTAAAATTATGATTTGCTGAAAAGCATAATAATTGGACAGGTCACATAGAGTTAATCTAATTTGTGTTTTAGAATTGCAGTTGGCCAGTTTTGTCTTGTTGACTAGATTCCCACTACATTCTGACTCAAAGAGGAAATTTATATTTTAATTTTTAAAATATTCGTGTGCAAATGCATTTAACTTGAGCAGCGAGCGCAGCAGTAGAAGGGATGCTCTCATGTGCACAGAATTTCCTAGGTAGACCTTCACTCAAGCAGTAAACAACTCATACTTCCAGGGGATGCTGTAGCTAAACAAACATTTTGTTGGCAAGGGAAAACATGAGTGGATGCTACTGGGCATGAAGCTTTAAATACTCCATGTAGAAAGAGGCAATCTGATAATCTTTTTCTATTATACTTATTTGTGGCCCTTGGGATCTGTTTCAATAAGGACTTCTGCTCTTGCCAGACCCGTGCAAGATTATGGAGAAATCCATTTTTCTCACAGCATAGACAGCACATAAGTCAATCTGTTGTGAGACACCTCTTGCTAATTATTCACCCTCTGGGAATAGGATTGATATAAGATTTGGAAGAGCATAAGAGAATACAGAGCTCTTCAACTCCTACATTTCTGGACTTGTTGAATCCGAGGAGCACCCGAAAGTCGTTACCATCTCATGGCATTACTTGTGTGTGGCCAGATGCTCGTGGAGAAGTTCCTGTCCTAATCACACAGCCACTGCTACAGCTGGCAAGGGTTGAGGTCCTTGTTGGCAGCGTGGCAGAGAGCACGAGAACTGAGCGTGCTTGGAAAGATGGTCTCTCCAGATCAAAATTTTTGGGGCATCTAGGCCGGTCAAGGTAGAAGGAACGTTTATGGGTGATGTTCCTGTTGTTCACCAGGACATAGTCTGAGAGAGTTTGCAAGGCCAGAGGGCTCCTAATCCCCTACGGAGAGCTGGGGCTACGTGGCCAGTGTATCCTTGTCACAGCGTGGCAGCAAGTGTGAGTGCTTGTCGTTTTTGCTGGCCACCCAGGTGCATTTTACACCTGGTATGAATAGTTCTAAATTGTAATGATTTTAGTAGACAATGTCTAACGAAGTTTGCCTGTCTTTTGGGCAGTGATGCTCCCATGGAGTTACAGTGGCATGGTTTTCTTTGCTAGGGACAAATAAGGGATCCTTGGCGCAGGCTGATCAAGGTCTTGTTTTTTTGGAGCCTCCTGACATGGGATGGTCTAGAGAAGACTTGTTCATGTATGTTAGCAGGCTCAGTGATCAGCATAGCACCAGCAGCTTGCAGGGGAGCTGGAGTTGGAGATAACTCATAGAAAATAAGTCCTGGAAGTGGAAGGTGGAGCATACTGTTTCACTCCATATCAGTATTTTAACTCTTGCTTCACAAGCTAGAAATGTGGAAATCTGATCAAATAAGGGATCCTTGGCGCAGGCTGATCAAGGTCTTGTTTTTTTGGAGCCTCCTGACATGGGATGGTCTAGAGAAGACTCGTTCTTGTATGTTAGCAGGCTCAGTGATCAGCGTAGCACCAGCAGCTTGCAGGGGAACTGGAGTTGGAAATAACTCATAGAAAAAGTCCTGGAAGTGGAAGGTGGAGCATACTGTTTCACTCCATATCAGTATTTTAACCCTGTTGCCTCACAAGCTAGAAATGTGGAAATCTGATAGGAGTATTTCAAGTACTTGAATATTCCCCATCCCGTGGGGGTCCTGTAAAACAGAAAAAATGCCAGTTCAAAGAATTTATTTAATAATCTCTAATCCTGTGACCTGGAGAGCAAACATCTGTTGATGCTAATTTGTTCAACACAGGCTGGGTTTTAAAATGCCATAATCCTATTAGAGAAGGAGAAAGATCGTGATGTGTTTTTCCTCGTTTTAAGAGCCTACTGCACCTTGAATGATAGCATTGTATACCTGTTTATTCACTGCACATTGTGTGACCCTGCGTGCTCAGGTCTGGCTTTGCCAAGGTTATTAAAGAAACTGAGGGACTTTAGAGCCAGTTGTTTACCTGCACCCAAAGAATTTTTTGACACTGGGCATAAGGGTTACAAGTCTATGTTTTATAACTAATTTTTCTGGTCTGACTCACAGGGGTCCATCTGAGCTACCAAAACACCAGCTGGTTTTAATGGGACAAGTAGGTGCTGAGGGAAGTTTTCGGTTGCGTAAATGTTACTCGTGTCTATTGCATAAAAGCTGTTTCCCTGAGTTTTGTGCTTCATACGGATCACGGTGGTATTTTATCTTTTGCAAGGAATATTGCATCATGTCGTATTGATAAAACAGGAATGGAAGGACCATAATGATGGAGGGCTGGGGGAGATGTTAGAGCCAAAACACCAGGAGCTAGACCACAAAAACTGACGCAAATTATTTCTAACAGTGCAAGTCAAGAATTTCCAGCCTGTTCCTCAGCCACCCTGTTGCAGAGAGCTGCTTGCAAGGGACCATTTTCTAAGGTTTCCTGCAGGGAAGCCAAGCTAACGGCGAGCGCAAAACTGCCCGTTGAAGCTTTGCATGCTGATCTCATTTTTGTCTTTGAGGCTTAAAATATTCACAGGCACTGAAAGCTGATATTTATGAGCAGAGCTGGCGGGGATAAAAAGCAAGTGGCTTAAAGGGCTCCTAGCCCATCAGCAACATCCCAGCTCTACCCCACCAACTCCATGGAGATCCAGCGCTCTGGTATTTTTAGAAGAACTAATCACCTCCATATTTCAGCATTGTTCATTCTAAGACACATTCTAGCCTTTTACTTTGTGTTTATGGAAAGTGTTTTGTATATTTATAAATGAACTATTTTTCCCTTGTTTCCCAAGTAATGCCCATTAACTTCAGTGACAAGGTGCCTCTGCAGAGATTTAGAACTTGAAGAAACACGACTTTCTTTTAAACCTTTGTTCAGTTTTATGCCTTGTGTTCTGCTCCGTCTTAAGTGCAGAGCACCCACCCCGGCTTTGATGGGTGGAATTGTTTGAAAGCCTTGGCCGAGTCTTGCAGCCCTAGCAGTGTCTCTTTTTCCCCCTCGTTGTGTTTCCAGGCAGTTTTCTGGACAACATGCCCTTGCGAAGCTCTGGCAAGCTGAGCATGGAGAGCAGGAGAGAGGACAGCGAGAGCACAGCGCCTGCCCCTCCGCAGAAGAAGCTGTCCTGCCAGTGCCACCACCACTGCCCTGAGGACTCAGTCAACAGCACCTGCAGGTTAGTGGGATAAATCATTCGCGAGGAGCACGGGGCGGCCCGGGGGTGCCTCGGGTTGGGTGTTGCCATTTGTTTTAGCAGTACAATATAAGGGGGAGTTGCTTGTACACTGTGTCTAGAAGTCAGAGATGACTTTTGCTTGGGCATGTCAGCTATACGTTTATATTTCTGTTGGATATTCACACCCTGAAAGCTTTTCACGTATGAAATATTCAGGAGGTAGGAGTATGTTTTTAAAATGTCTGTGTAGTTAATAAGAGGATTAATGGGGATGTACACAATTGTGAATGCTTATAAATTTGCAATCACTCTTTGGAACTATTGCAAGAAACCTGTTCCATTCATCTTTACTACGGCTGAACTACCTTTTTAAGGCCTTTCAAGATGCTAATTTTTTCTTGTCTCTGTGATAAAAAGGAAAAATATTTCTTGAGGAGAAGTTAAATATTTTCTTAGGAGTAGTCTTCCTTGTATTTCACTGCTTGGTTAAAGTAAACTTCTCACTTGTGTTCAGTTCTGTTTCCTCAAGGGCCGCACTTTCTGCTGGTTTAGGGCATTTAAATCCCGGGGGTATTTACCATGAGCTGCTACAGTTAGGGGGGATCTGGATATGCCACAAGCACAACACAGGTGTATTTGCCCAGCTGGACGTGCTGGCTGGGAAGGCAGTTCTGTTTGAGGTGAGCCAGGCTACTATTTTACCTGTGCTGGCTACTTCTTCCAGGCGGTGTGTTGAAAAAGGTCACAAAACCGTGAGATTGTGAAGAAGTGGATGACTTTGTTGGGTTTTGGTGGTGTTTCACGGTCTAATTTCGTTCTTCTCAGCCTGTAGATTCACTGGATCATGTCCGTTTAGATGATAGCTGTAAATAGTTGCACTCCTCCTTCAGACCGAAGCTCTAGCTATGCAGTGACCAAGCAGCTCCTACAGGGCAGTTCTCTTGCCAAGCTGTGGAAGCCCCACTTGGCCACCAGTTTGGAGCTCCCCTGCCGTGGGAATGGGCTGCTTCCCATTTGTGCCCAGCAAGAGGGGCTGCTTGCACACGTGCAGTTTCGCACGTGCACCTATGGAAGCTACAGGTGATACTTCATCCACAATTTGGAAAACCCAAAGGGATCGTGTTAGTGAACCCACTGAACAAGGTTTATACCCCAGCTTGGCAAGACCTGCTGTCAAACAGTGCTTCACAGATGTCATCAGCGATAAGTGTATTTAAGGTGGTTGAGAACTATGAGCAAATGTCCTGTTAAAAAAGGATTTGTGCAGTTTCCTTCACTGTGATGCTTTTTTAAAAAAACATCTAATCTCTTCAGATTCCCCATGCAGTATCAGAAACCAAATCTGTTTTTAACTGTTGGTGCCCAAGGATAGGCATATGCAAGCAGTTAAGTGGCAAAATGCAAAATTGTAACCACTTCTGTGGTTACACCAGTCTCATCCGGAAATCTGGAATTTACCCATCAAACTATTATTCACTTTCTAGCTCAGGGAAAAGTGGAGCAAAGTCGTAAGACTAGCATTTTACCCAAACTTGCTGCTCTTTTCCCAGCCTGTTGCTGTCATCCTAGCACCATCTCCTCCTCAAGGAGCAGAGTATAAGCAAAAAAAAAAAAAAAAAAAAAAAACCTGCTTCAGAACTTAGAGAAGAGCAAAAGCTTGCACTAAATACCCATACTCCACCTTTGCAATCCTTTCCAGGCTGGTGGTGGTTCCTGCAGTAGCTTCCCTTGCCTTCATGCACAAGAGCTGCAGCTGAGTGCAAGCTACAGCAGCCCCTGTTTTCCCTGCGTTTGCTCAACTCTCTTGGTCTCCTATTTTGGCTTGAATCCCGTACTATGTAATTGGCATTAAAGATAAAAGTATAAAAGGAGCTTATGGTGTGAAGGGGGTCCTAACTCTAATTTTGGTGAGGAGTAGTTGTAGGTTTCCAGATACCTAGCTGCATTGAGCCCAGGTTTAAAAAATTTGGCTCAGACCCCTCAGGTAAGCATGGACTGCTCGTCCCCCTTCTATTTTGGGATCATCATACTAATCAGCTTGTTATTTTCCTATTTCAGCAGAGCCTGATTGACTCTTGGCACAAGTTTAAAGCAATCTGGAGTTCTCATTTAACCTCTCTGCAGAAGCAGCTTGGCCATGCCGAAGTGCAAACAGCAGCGATTGCACAGCATCTGTCTGAAGGACAGCTAAGCTGCTTCAGATTAAAAGCTATTGTGTTAATCACCTTCCTCCCCTGCATGCAGTCCCTAAAAGCTTTTAAAAGACCGAAGGACTCTGGCATAGGCAGTCCCGTAGCAGCCAGCACTAGGAGTGCCTCATGAAAACGCAGCCCGCTCTCCGGCTGGCTTCGGCCCACCCGTGCACGTGTTTGGGAGGGCATGGGTGCAGGCTGCAGCATTAGCAGGCTCAGTGTTTTTTATAAAAATGAGGACATCTGGTGGCCATTTAAAATCCGCCCCATAATTGCATTTTTAGATGTTTAAAGTCAATATTCTTAGCCACATCTGTTTCAAATCCTGCTTCGTTCGTGTACAGATTCCCCCTTTCCTTATACTGCTGCATAAGTTCCGCAATGCTCGAGTAAGCTAAGGATAGCACCACAGTTTCAAATGCACGTTGTTTGCTATTTCAATATTAAATGGTAGTAAATGCTCCAGTTAAAGCATTCTTTACAGCGCGACCCTACTGAAAACACTGCCCGCATTGAGCGAGGTGCGTACGTGTGTGTGTGGTATAGGAAATGCTTTTTAGTTTTAAAAGAAGACTAGACGTAACCTGTATGACTTATTGAAGGCAGTTAGTACATTTTTCCCAAGTCCTATCTGCATAGATCAGTTAAAGAGGACTTTAGTCCTGAATCTGCTGGGATTTAAGGTGTTCTGTTTGTTTTTGAAAGATGATTAAAAAATCGGATCCTGGCAGGTTTTTGAGGTTTGTACGCCCCATATTAAGGTACCCTAGCACAAAATGTACGTGGCTGATGTCCCCCAGCCCTGCAGAAGCAGTGGTTGAGCCCATCCGTGTGCTGGCCACCAAAAGCAGGGGCACCTGCTCGACAGGGCTGGTGTGGGCAAACAGGGCTGTGCCACACGGACTTCTTCCACGTCCTCAGACCAAACTGCCCGTGTCTCAGTTTGTGCCCGTTGCCTCTTGTCCTGTCACTGGCCACGCTGAAAATGGTCTGGCCCCATCCTGGAGACACAAGCTGGAGACTTGTGTGGCCACAAGCTTTGGGCCACTCTAAGCCACCTTTGCCTCCTCATATCTGTTCTCGCCGTGTTGCCTTCCAGATAGCTGCATGCACATGTGAAGGTGGATTTGGTTCAACAGCTGCATGATGCTCTTGACATGTTTCAGGCTCCTCCTTTGATGCACAGCTGCTTAGGATATTTCGAGGGGGAGGTGGAGAACGAGCCTGCACTGAATGCATTTATCAAGGCTCTCTGTTTTATGGACAGTATCCAAAGAGAAGGTTCTGCTAAGTTTGGCCTTCATCATCTTCTGTGGGTGAAGGATGTGACAAAACATATGAATTGGACACAAATCAGGAGTCTAAGCCAATTTTTCAATTAGGTTAATTCAGGCAGACTTTACACAACTGTATGAGCTTCCAGGTTTCTGTACCTAACATAGCCTAGTGTTTTTTGCTCATTTTTTAAGAGTGTCAAGTCAGTGCTTCTCACACCCCTTAGGATGGAAATGTAAAGGTGGTGTAGCTCATCCTGCTACCACAGCCAAAACTGTGCACAGCAGGCGTGGCCAAAAATATACACTCATTTAGATTTAACTGCAGATAGTCTTAAAGATGAGAAATCTTTTCATCAGGTTATTTAACCATCCTGTTTGTCACAGGCACTAAATGATGGAAGCGCCACCACTTTGACAAACTATTTTCTGCCCAGCCTCGCTGCCCAGTGCACGTGGAAGGCAGGACCAGAAGCCACCAGCAGTGAAGTTTTGGTGGCGCGAGCGCTGCGTCCCACACGAGACGTGGCCCTTGTCCGGTGAGGACGGCTGCTAGGGCAGCTGCAGAGCTGCTCTTCCTCTCCTCACACCCAGCAAAGGTCTCTGTCAAGAGCAGCAGCGTCTGTCGGCATTTCCCTCAACACTCCCTCTCTTTTCCTGGATTTTCACTTGGCCATCAGAAAGTCTCTCCTGGCAAGTGTGTGACCCACGAAATCTGAGCACAGGAGCAATCCAAACTGTGTTTTAGCATTTTCCCTGGCCATACTGTAATAAGATAAATAAGATAATGCTTAAGAGGAGGTGGTTAATGCAGGTGTACCTGGGTGTATTTTGTGACATCAAGTTGAATTCCTTCTTTAAACATCATTCAAATTACACAGTTTAAGCAGCATCAGTTCTATACTAAAAACTGGCTAGGAAGTGGAGAATTTAGCTTTTATATTGCTTTTTGTGTTATCAGCAACATATTTTTCTACTTGTGCAATCACCAAAATGAACATATAGGTGATGCAGACTTTTCTGAATTGCTTCTAACTTGTCATTATATTAAAAATAGAGGTGAGCAGGTATGAGGGAGGGTCATGTGTAAGACCACAGGGCTCTGCTGTGCCCTCTCCTTGTGGTGCTTGGTGCCCTGACACCTCCTGGTGTCCTCTGAAGCTGGAGAAGAGCTCGGGTAGGAGGGAAGCAGAGGTGGTACTTACTTTTTGGACAAGTTGCTTCAACCTCTTGCCCAAATTCTTGTAAAATCTTCAGTAGAATAGAAGGTTTTCATATCGCGTGACAGCTTTTTTCTCTAACTTGTTTTTCATTAGTGATAGAAACTAACAGTACCCCTTTTATTTTGCTCTGTAGGCCCTTTTAAAGTTTTACCAGTTTTCCTTCATTACTGTACTGGTGTTCACACAAAACATGAGTTTTACAACTCTTCCCTTTTGCTCTATGCAGTCTAATTTTGTTGTCTTTCTAGATGTGGAATAAAATTTCTTTCTAGATGTGGGAGAGACCAAAGAGTCTTGGGATCCTAAATCTAATTTTCAAATATGAGCTAAAAATGAGAGTCCCCGAGCAAGTCAGAAAATAAGACAAGAAATGAAACTGCTAACTTTCTTGCTTCTCTTCCCCTTCTGCAAACAGAAACAATTTGACTCTTCCCTCTACGCTTCCATCTTTCCTTTTGAGACTGGCCTGTTTTGATTTTTACCGTGGACTGTTAGCTGTGGAGTTCATTTTTGCGTCTCACTCGATCGCAATTTATTGTTTTGTTGCTCTGTCCCCTGGGTTAAACGAACTCATTACTTTGAATCAAAGGCACCATGCAAACAAATAAAATCTAATCTAATACAATATTCTGCTCTAATGGATTCCTTCCAGTCTCTGCTCTTGGCAATCCCGTGGCTCCTATCTTGAGCTCGAGCAACGCGGTGGAGGTGGTTACCGCCTCCTCGCCCTACTCGTGTGCTCCATGTCAGGCAAGGGCAGAAGTTGGTGCTTCCTTCTCCGAGAAAGTAATTTGTCTTGTGCTGCTCGTTACTTTTCGAGCCCAGCAGTCAATAACGGGAGATAGATTATTATTTGAGGTAATAAGCTTACTGTGGCTAGACCCTGCACCACTAATATGAAACGATGCCCCAGCAAATGCTTGACGTGATCCTATCCAGCATCTGTCTGTACTGTAGCTAATACTTGCAAATTGTGTTTAGCTAGCCCGTGTGCAAGAGTGCCGCTCTTTTCCTGTGTCTCCATGGTCTTTACTGCTGCTGTTCTGCTAGGCTTTCCTCTCATTCCAACGAGGAGCAAATCATCGGAACTTTTGCTGGGTTTAAATTTTCTAATCCTCTTTTCTTTCTATTTCCTTTTTTTTAACTGTGTTTGTGTCCTCTCTCCTGAAACATGTTCATTGAACATAACGACCAGTGTTAATGGCTGGGGAAATAATGGAATATGTTATTTTTATGCAACTTACATGTCGCATATTAAAGATTTTTTTAATTTATTTTTGGATCCTCTTCCTGCAAGTTAGTTGCTTTGTGCTTCCTACACGTTACATGTCCCCCTCAGAGCACTAAGCAATTCATGTGCAGCAGTCCCAGCAAAATGCAGCGGCTCTTTTTGTGCCCTCCATCCCCTCTTTCCATAGCGCTCAGGCATTTGACCTTCATCGAGGAAGGACATTTATCACCAGCTCCATCTCACCATCTGTTAGGATACTTGTCCTCGGCCGTGCACGTTCTTGTAAACGGAAGCGCTACGGATCACTTGAGGCTTATAAGCCACATAAACAGTTATGAAGGGTGTTGATGATAACTCAAGGACTCATACACAAGAGTGTTGCAGCTTGCAGTATGGTTACAACAGGTATCACAAATCACCCTTAATAGTACTTTACTTTTAATATCTCAAAATATCTAAAAAATGTTTGTTTCTGTAGGTCTCCCCCATGGTATAAGTATCCATGTTTCATTCTCATGGAGAGGGTGTTGCAGCGCTGATGCTTGCAGTCATATAGGTCTCCAAAGTCTTAACACTGTAATGTCAATAAGCAATTACCGAAAATTACGGTCTTATTACTGAGAAATGTTGGGAGGGGAGGTGTGTCAGCTTTGAGGCACAGCCTCCTTTGTGCGTGGAAAAGTCTTTTTTTGTGAAACTGGGTTGCAACAAGCTGCCTTGGGCGCCTTCATCTTCCAGCCTGTCTTTTTCCACATGTACCATAGTGCTTCAGCTGTTTGTGTACTGTCATGCTGCTGGAGGACATACGTTGATTTGTCTGCGATGGGAGTGCATGGCAAGGAAACAACATTTTAGACTGTCTTTAGCAGCACGTTTTTCATGTTTAAAAAAAAAAAAAAAAAAAAAACTTCCTCCTGATTCATTCTTTCTGTCCACTCCTCAGCACTGATGGCTACTGCTTCACCATAATAGAAGAAGATGAGGCCGGAGGACATTTAGTCACCAAGGGATGTCTGGGATTAGAGGGTTCAGACTTCCAGTGCCGGGTAAGAAGGCATTTCCTGCCTAGGTTTTGTTTGACTTTTTGGCAGCTTTCAGTTAAGTGCAACCTTTGTGCCTTACATGCAGTTCCCTTGGGTTTGGGATTTTTGGTGCTGGGGATTGATTTAGAGTCCCACAATCACCTGTTTCAGAGCATATCTTGCTGCAGCAATAGGAAGAGTGTGGGCAGTGGAGCAAGATGGCTCTGAAGCACTCACCCTTTCTACAGTTAAGCGTGGATGATTTTACATGAGTACATGTTCTCGTGACAGGTAAATTAATCCACACAGCAATTTTTGTATTAGTCTTGATAAACTATTTTGAATAAGCAAGTTAACTTACTTATATAGCATAACTCCAACGCGTGCACATATGTAACTGTCAGAGCCCTGTCTTAGACTATTAGAGTCAGTAGAGCCTTTCTGCAGCACGAGGGCATCGACAGAAATAGCAAAGGGATGAACTCATCTCTTAGTGATTTAGATGAAGTGTTTCAGGATACTCGAGGTGGCACAAATGCCTGCTCCACACAGCCTGGAAGTATGTTAGTGACCACAAGCCACTTGTCAAGCACACTTTTCTTTCAAGCACCAGAATGAGAGTGTCCCTTGGCAGCACAGGTAATTACTGCATTTTCTGTGGCATTTTTGATTGCAGGACACTCCCATTCCACACCAAAGAAGATCAATTGAATGTTGCACAGGTCAAGATTACTGTAACAAGCATCTTCATCCTACACTGCCACCCCTGAAAAACAGAGGTAAGGGCTAGAGGTAAATTCAGCCCCTAAATGGTCTTTTCCTGCTGTTCCTCTTTGCAGCTCAGACAGAAGCAAAGCCAAAAGCAAAGCTCTCCACCAACAGTACATGATTAGAAAGATCAACTGTATTAAATGGTCTATCAGTTGTGGCTGTTGTTCATAACTCCCTAGTAACTTCCGTCGGACACATCTGAGACCAGACATAGCTTAAAATAGAGTGTAGAGGCATGCAATGATTTTATTAATTTGTTGTCTGAGAACAAATGGAAATGTATTAACTTAATGGATTCCAGGTAAGACTTGCATTAGGTTGTAGCTTGTCTTATTTATGCCTGAAAGTTACTACAACAATTTTGTCTGAATGTTGCAAAATGTATATTTTAAAAACGATGATTCCTAAGCAAAAGTAGCATTCTCCCACAGTAAAATCTTGGCCTTGGCCACAATCACCACCATGAAGTTTAGTCTGCAAGAATCAGTTCAAACTTGCAGGTAAATCTATAATCGTTGCATTCAGTTCTGGTGGGTTGAAAATCCAAATCTGTGCTCGAATGCACTCTCACACCGACAGTGGATACCCGAATGCATACTCAGAGCGAGACTTTGTGCATGCCAACAGTTCCTCTCACATCTATGAAATTCCACATGGATGGGCTGCAGAATCAGGTCTGTGGAAGCTAATATGTAAATATTTGCTAGCAAGCTGTTAAGTCAGTGAAGCCTCATAAAATTTTGTCTCCCAACATGCTAGGTATTTATTTTATTTTTTTTTAAGTTCCTTGGATGGAGAGGGAAGCCCTGAAAGGAAGTCAGTATTTGTTCACACTTTGTTAGTATATGAGTAAATGTCATTTCAGTTTTGAAAATGATGCCATGATTTCTTCATGTTTCTGACTGAGTTAATTCCAAATTAAAAACAGTTTAAAAATATCAAGCAAGTATGCCTAAAACTAGGTATCTGCCTTACTAAGCTCTTAGCTATCTGACTGTCCTGTCTGCTGCTTACACCCAAAGCAATAAAACAAGCTTTTGCTAGCAACAGAAGTTATTTGTATAGGTTTTTGAGTTTGCTCTATGCATATAACAGGTAAATAAAGCATCGTTTGGGCACTGCGGTGGCAGACCCATTAAACAACAGAGAGAATATTTGTTGAAATAATTATTTTATAGTGTTGGAACAGGACTCTAGCTGCTTCATATTGCAAAGTTGTCTGATTTATTGTGACAAGCAAAAGGCAATGTATTCATTCAACATATTCTGAAGATTCTTGTTTGAAATGAGCCCTGCAATAGTAGCATCCTGTCCATTAATGTGCTGGGGAAATATATTTCAGAAACTGCTTCATAAAATATGGCTGAACAGGACTGAAGTTAGCACCTTCATTAAAGCCTTATGCAACTATGTATGCCCTACCGAGTGGCAAACCTGTTGTGATTTGCCACTCCTATGTCCTCGTGTAAAAGCTTAGGGAAAAGTCATAGTTTGGACTATAGATCCTCACTGCAACCCTGTACAAATACTGCATGTTGAGTATTGCCAGTACTGTGGCTGTGATCATTTCTTCTACTGAAGACATTTAAATTAGGGTGCAATTACGTGAATACTATTAGAATTGTTAACCCAATTTAACATAAACTGTGAGCTCTGGAGGGAAAAAAGAAAAAAAAAACACTTTTAAAACAAGCTGATAGAAACAACCTTACAACCTTTAGGATTCCTTGAGTAAAATTGTATGCTACTCAGCATTTAAAAACAGAAGAAAGTTTGCTTCTGGTGAACTTATGTCCAGGGTCATCTCTCACAGGACGCAGAGGCTAGGGAGATCATCCAGCTGCAGGTCAGAGGTTGCTGAACTGCAAATTACCAAGGTAGCACCTACTAAGGCAAAGAAATCGTGCCCTGAGAGTGTTATTCCAGACCTGGCATGTGCTGGAATGGGGGCTTTGCCCTCTCTCTGTGGAAAGAAAGGAGGACCACATATGTGCAAATGAGAGCTAGAGGAATTAGCACACACCGCAGCAAGGCTCTATTGAGCGAGGTGGAAGAAGGCAGCTACAGCTAAGCTTAAGTTTTGGTCTTATCCTAGTCGCAGACCTAGCAGGATGCAGTGCTCCAGGAACACCACGAGGTCCTCTCTCCAGTTGTGCATCTGTCTTACTAAGGAAATGAGAATCATAATTGGATCTGATACAACACCTCTATTTTAAACAATAAAAGATATTCCTGGAAACCCCGGCGCGCCGAGCGCAGCCGCGGGGGGAGATCCGTCTGCGCTGATTTAGAGCCCGTGTGCGCAGGAGCGCTGGTGCCACCGTGTCTGGCCGCCGGCCGGCCTGCCGCGCTCGTGATGGACGGCGTCACGGCAGACTCGGCGAGGAGCAGCCCCCGAGTGTCGCGTTTCCCTCATAGCCATCGTGCCAGGGTCCCCTTTCAAGGGCGCTGGCCGCCCGCCTTGTGTTTATGTTGTTAGCGCTCCGGGAGCAGGTGAGGGCAGCCCGGAACATGAGCGGCACCGTGAAAAGGTGCCTCCGTGGGCGATCGCTGTTGTGGGTCAGAAGAAAGAGCTGGGGGCAAAAGGGACAGCGAAACCGGAGCTCGAAAGGAAAAGCGCCTGCCGAGTCCCCGAGGAGGCTCCGTGTCTCATTACCCTTGCAAATCCGCAAGGTAACGGTGCTGGAGGAGCCGGCAGGGATGGCCTGCTGGAGCCAGGAGGACATGGGATGGAGAGGCCTCCTCTGCTGCCTGCGGAAATGCCAAGACTTGGAGCTTTGAAGAGCAGTAGCACAAGGTCTCTTCACCAAGAGTTTTCGTGCCATGGCATTTCCCACCAGTTACTTCACATACTTCCTTCTCCAAGTGCTTGTCTCTGGCCTCTGGTGGTCTGCTTTCTCGAGGGCTACGTGCTCTGCAGTGGTGTCCCTGCTAGCATAAATGCAGCCACTGCTTGTTTTAATACGAGCTGTTTGGCAGGACTCTAGTCCATAAAAGTGATTTAGGATAACAACCGTAGTTTTTGTGTGTCCCACTTGATCAAAGAGGTTGAGACCCAGAGCTGTAGGTCCTGCTTTGCCTTCCCTAATCGATTCTTCACTCAGGGCCCAAGAGGGCTGCACTTCAGGGCAAGGTCCCAGCATTACTAATGGGGATTTTGTGCCCCGGCAAGGTCTGCACAAGCAAATAGGCCCTTGAATGTTGCCAGTTTTGCCCTGGCCACTGAAGCTCCAAAAAATGGCTTTTTAAACCAGGGATGTCTTGTACAGTATTTTAGTAGGAAAAAAAAAATGCTTGCTTAGTGCACTTTTTAAGTCATGTCTATCTGTATGATGCTATGCCCTGCCCACATTTTCCAACTTTTTTTCCTCTGTTTTTATTTTTTTATTTTAAATTCCAGACTTTGCTGAAGGAAATATTCACCATAAGGCGTTGCTGATCTCAGTGACCGTTTGCAGTATTCTTCTGGTGCTTATCATCATATTCTGCTATTTCAGGTAAATGAAGAGATGGCAAACATTCTTCCTAATATTCATCTTTCTTATGGACATCAGACTTTTAAAAATTTAAGGTGGAAGTTAAACGAAAAAAAGAATTAAAAACAAAGCTGTAGTTTTGTTTTGGGAAACAAATGCATATTTTATTCATGTTGGTCTTAAGTATACCTGTGTGGTATATTTCATACAGTGTCTTTTGCCTGGTGTCCTAAAAAGCCTTTCAGGCAGAAGCAGAGATTTTTCTTTACTGAAGCTGAAAAATGTCACAAGGTGAAGTTTTTATAGGGCAAATAAACCTGGGGCTTCCAAATATCTTCACACAGTGAAGAAGTAATCCCCCAAAAGAGAGGGGAGCAGAAGAGTAAGTAAGTGTGGCTAGAATGTCGTCATAATCTACATACTGTATATTTAATTCCTCACATTTTTAATTAGTCCCAGATTCCATTATGGTACCTTCTCTTGCTCATAAAAGACCCACTGCATGCAGTGAGATAAAACAGGGTATTTACACTGTTTGTTTTAAGCATATTTTACTTCCTCAGAACAAAACTAAACAAATGCACTCCTTTTGCTGTGCAAACGTACATCAGATTGCTCCATCTTTGAGTTTTGTGGTCCAGAGTACCATGCCATTTGGATGCTGAAAGCAGTTTGCTGAATACAAAACTGAACATACTGCTTAGCCAGCCCAACGCGTCCTGCGAGTAGGTCTGTTAAATGCAGCTCCCCTGTGCCCTGAACGGCAGGTACAAGAGGCAGGAGACGCGGCCGCGGTACAGCATCGGGCTGGAGCAGGACGAGACCTACATCCCGCCGGGAGAATCCCTGAAGGATCTCATCGAGCAGTCGCAGAGCTCTGGCAGCGGCTCCGGGCTCCCTCTCCTGGTAAGAGACAAATGTTCTTTGAATGCTGCGCTGAAAAGGCAGAGGTGAGGCCCGGGAGGAGGAAAAAATGAGACTTGCGTTTGAACATACAGATTGTTTAGGGTTTTCCTCCCCAGAAATGGCAAATATTTAAGCTGAAAAACAATTAAGAACTGGGGACTTCTATTTCACATAGACTAAGCCAAGAAAAGCTTAGCTTTTTTACTTGAGTGCTCAGTTCTTAGCTCAGATAACATGGGATAAGTGCCTAGCTCAGATATCATAGCATAAATTCAGATTAATAGACCTCACACTGGGCTTTACCCCAGTGTAAAGGACAGCGTCTGGCCTGCAGTCCCATTTTCGTGCTTTTTATGTGCAACACACAATAGCATTTCAAACACTGACATGCAGTCTTTATAGAAAAGGAACTGTAATTCATCAAACCTGCAGCCTTTTTATGTGTGGACTTCACTTTGCATTCAGAAGTCAAGAACAAATTATTTCCCTTGTACAGTGGTAATCTCGGAGGTTAAAGGCATTGGGAACAGAGTGCAGTTTATCATTATTTCTGAACCGACTCCAAGACCCCTGAGCTCACATGCAGAAGTTTTATATTCTGTAACGAAACGCTACTGTTCAACAGGGTTTTAGTTTTTGAGGGTTGTTAACGCTTCTTAGCAGTGAAGAAAAAAACAGACTCTTTAAAATTTTGCCCCTGAAAAAAAAATAATTGATTTCATTTTCATTTTTCAGAGATTGTATGTGCCTTCTGTCCACCAAACCTGCTTATTTGTAGCAATCTTAGGCAACAAGCAGATGTTGTCCACTTTTCAAGTATTTAGGTACTATTTTTTTTCCATGCTAAAGATGAAATAATGGAGGAAATTTTGTAGTTCCTTAAGATGAAGCCAAAAAAAAAGAGCAACTAGATAAAATTTGGCTTAACTAGTTCTAGAGGAATAAGTGATTAGGCTCACATTTAAATTAAGTGCTGGCTATTTTTTTTTAAATGAAGTTTTCTGATAGTAGCTAGTAGCCATAGCCACTGAGACAAGCTGAAGAATGGGCTCGGTGGCAAGGCCTGGGCATGGAGAATCCTTGGCCATTTATGTTGGTCGAGAGAGATTTTGTCAGTTGGAATAGAGGCTTTAGGAAAGCTCTGTGGTCTCCCATAACAGTGTCCCTGCAGCGGCCATGGAAAGGGAGGGATCCTGCCTGGGAGTGAGGACCCTTCCTAATGAGAGCTTCTGATTTACTAAACCAAGAGCCACCAGAAATGCATGGTTTGCTACCTATGGCCCAGGCCTGCAAGGAGTGTAGAGCAAAGTGCCCAGAAAAAAAATGCCCTAGCCCTTCTTGTGGAAGAGCTTTGACCATTGTTATTTCTTATTCCAGGAACGAAACATTCAATGTTATTACTTCAGGAAAGCAAGCCACAAATTTATTACAAAATGTCTGTTTATGATGAACAGTGATGTCTTTCCACTGTGCAGCGCATTTATTCTAATGGGCAAATGTTACACCAAAAAAAACCCCAAACATCAACCACGATGTTATCAATACCTTGACGCTCAGCAAAGCTTTTTCTTGAGCCCCTGGGAGAAAAGGAGAAAGTGGTTTCCGTGGTGCCTAGCAGCTTGGCTTGGTTGTGGAGCACAGATCCTACCTTTACACGGGTTTTTCTCATTCCTCCTGCAAAAGATTTTGCTTTTTAGTGGGGTGCATCCCAGTGGGAGCCCCCAAATTCTCTTAGAAAGATGTTGCAGTGCAAAAAGGCTCGTTTGTGTGAATTTCCCCCATGTTGAGCAAGTGCATTTGGCTGAAAAACGGGGTGCAGAGAGACTTTGGCAGAAGTAGACCTAGTTGGTAAGGGGGCAAGAGGGGGAAGCAAAGGGCCGTGAAACTTTACCTGGCTGTTCACAGAGCGCAAGCAGCAAAATACGGATTTGGAAAGAAATCAAAAAACACTCACTCTGAGTAACTCTCTCAGAGACATCGCTCAGCTTGCTTATCAAATCAGTTTGTCCAACAATTTTCATTAAGGACTGTGTTTAAAAAACTCAATCAGCTTATCAGCCCCCCAAAAGAGGTAAATTCCTTAAAAAATTATATATATAAATATATATATATAATTAATTATATATATTATTAATTATTTATATAAAGACATCTGCGTGGACGTAGCCTTTTCAATAGCATTTCTTGCTTTGCTTTGACATACTGCTTCCCAGATGATTTTGTTAACATTTTTATGAGATTTCTGCTTAGGAATCTGTTGTTTACAAATTTTATTCCCTGCTATATTTCTGTAAAAATCAGTGGCACATCAGTATTCGTTTTCAACATTTGCTTGTATTTCTATATGCTTTCACTTATTCGATCACTAACATACTGACATAGCAATCCATTCTTCATTTTTTTCAGTTTGAAAAACAGTGTTGACATAGTAGTACTCTTAAAGCACAGGAATAAATTAAGGCAAATTAAGAGATTAAATAGCATTGATAAATCTCTGTGGAAAGAGATAATGTACTGGGGAGAAGGTAAAGAAGTATTGCTGAGTCTTGCCCTGCTCCTAAGGTCTTTCAGTAAATATGCAATGCTACAGTGGGTGCTCTGTTTTTTTTT